TGAATCGCAATGCGTGATTTGTAAACTACTAGAATAAGAATCGTGAGGCATGATTGATAAATAACTTTAATGTGAATCATGATGTGATTTATAAAATACCTTAATACAAATCCTGATGAGTAATTTGCAAATCACTTTAAAGTAATATTCGATATGTGATTCATTGATCACTTTCAGTTAAACCACAATTCGTAGAACATTTTATGTGAATTTCTGATCCATAAATCAAGAATCAGTTTAATGTGAATCACGATGTTTATTCATAATCAATGAAACCTGTAGGACTAAACTTTATTTATTAGCAGTAAAAACTGAATGTAAAAATTTGATTGTAAATGATACAAAATTAATTATCCTTCTTACATAAATTAAAAGAACAAATAGGACAACAATATTAACCTGTCGTAATAATGAAGTCAACACATTAAACATGTTTCTAAATCAATTAAACCCTATATATCATTCGCAAAACTATGACTAAAAAACCTAAAATTTGCTAGAAATTTCAGCTTTCAAAACATCAGAGATATGAACAATCTGGTCTGAAAAATCTAGGAGAGAAAAGTTTTGCATCTTCTTTAACCCCTTTTCACTTCAAGCATTAAAAATTGCACAGTTAGAATTTCTATAATTTTCCTTTGAATTTATATATTTTTTTCATTACTTTTTAGCAAGAAAAATTAGCAGTATTTTAATTTCTAAAAAATCAAGTACTTTTCAAGTACTCTATGGCAGAATTCAAGGACTTTCTGGGGCCCTGATTTTTTTCAACGTAATTCAAGGACTTTCAAGTACCGTGGGAACCCTGATAAGACTAAATTAAATAACAAATTATAACACCTTACAATAAACGTTTCTACACCAATATGGGACTGTATGAGGATATAAAACATGCTGAAGAAAAATATACTTTTCTGAAGATGATCCCTCACAAATGCCGGCGTCATTTTTAATAAATCTTTACAAAATGAAATTTGTGGAAAAATCCAAATTTTAATTTTCTTTTTAAAAATACGAAAACTGCTTGAAACTATTTAATATATTCAAAATGAAATTTTTTTCATTCGGATGGGTGCAGTATAAAAGAAATACTTTAATTACTCATATCTTGAGCAGTTTCAAAAAACATTTTCGTAAATTTTAAAAATTGCAAAACAAAAAAAGAACGTTTTTTTTAAAATAAATATGTCCATATCACCATAACTATTTACGCAACGTTTACGAGATTTTGTGCAATTAATGAATATAAAAACCAAAACAATTGTTACCAGTTGCTTATTCATAGTTACAGTTTTTGGCATAGGGTGCTCAAAAACATTATTTTTCGTTCGCAATTTATTGTCGGTCGCTAATGCCTCGAAAACTTCATCGATATGTATGAGAAATCGCATGACACTTTTGTTCTAAAATAATTCCTTTATGAGAAAGATCAAAGAATGGGGTTTCCATTATTTTGTACAACCTCTGTATCTATAAAATCTAAACTTTGCGAGCAGACGGTAATTCAAATGTCAGAGCTTAAAAAATTTTCTTCCAACACACAGTGAATGATTTTTTTTTTCATTCCTGGTGGTAAAATACAGCACACATAACCTTCAGAAAGAGATAAATTTCTTCGACGGGCAACCCTTTCACTTTGATAGTGATCTAATGTTACAGTTGAATTAGGTAAAAGGTCACTTTCGAATAGCAATCAAACAGGTTCGAAGAAACATGCTTAATCGAATACCTCGTATTAATCATGTCTCAAAGAACCAACTTAAAAAATAAGATTCTCCAACAGTAATACTTCTCAGTTCATTTACCTGAACACAGATAAATAACAATCTTCACAAAACTCTTTTTACATAAAAACTACAAGAGAGAGAGTTACAAGCAGAATGAATGTGTGGACAGCTAGACCATTATAATATTAAAATTTTTTTATTTCACTTTAAATAAAAATAAAACTATTTAGCAGTATGAACAAAACCGTGAACAGATAATGTTAGCTTTCGAGAAAAACTTTTACAATACAGAACCCGTTATCCGGAAATCAGAAAACCAAAAAAAAAAACGGAACGAAATTCGATTAGTTTTCCCGACATTTAAAAAAAAAAAAAATTTTTCCTCATAAGATTTTAGGATTTTTCGTTCTTTTTTGAAAGATGTTTACCTTACCATCATTTTGGAAATAATCATTAGTGTATTACTTCATCGTTTTTTTTTTCTTTTCAAGATTATTTCCAATTTTTTTTTAGTTGGGTTTAACTATAAAAAAAACGGCTTTTTGTAGCGATTCGGAAAACCGGAAAAATCAGTTATCCGGAATATAGATGGTCCCGATCGTTCCGGATAATCAGTTCCCTACTGTATTATACACACTACAAAAATATGGTATCTCTCAAGCATGAGTGATATTGTTGTGTCTAGTTAGATGTTCCTTCTGTGAAAATGCCTTATTACAAACACTACACGAATAAGGTTTCTCTCCGGTATGAGTGCGCATGTGCCTAGTTAGAGGTTGTTTATTTGAAAAAGTTTTATTACATATAATACACGAATAAGGTTTCTCACCACTATGAACACGACTATGGACAGTCAGTCTACTCCTATATAAAAAACTTTTATGACATACACTACACGAATGAGGTTTCTCTTTATTATGAACAGAAGTGTGTTTGGACAGTTCACTCATTATTGAAAAACTTTTATTACACAGGTCACAAGAATAAGGTTTCACCTTAGTATGAATGCGAGTATGCAAAGTTAGTTTATACCTAACTGAAAAACTTTTATTGCATATATTGCAAGAATAGGGTTTCTCACCAGTATGAATGCGAACATGTTTAGTCAGATTACTCTTAGATGAAAAACTTTTATCGCATAGACTACAAGAATAAGGCTTCTCAACCATATGAAAGAGACTATGCTCAGTCAGATGACTCTTATAAGGTTTTTCCCCAATATGAGTGCGATTGTGTACAGTTAGATATTGCTTATGAGAAAAACTTTTATTACATACACTACAAGAATAAGGTTTCTCACCAGTATGAATGCGACTATGTTCAGTGAGATAACTTCTACTTGAAAATTTCCTATTGCAAAAACTACAAGGATAACGTTTTTTACCACTATGAACGCGGCTATGCTGAGTCAAATTACTTTTCCCTGAAAATTTCTTATTGCATACACTACAAGAATAAGGTTTTTCGTCAGAATGAGTCTGACTATGTCTAGTTAGAATTTTCTTCAGTGAAAATCTTTTATTGCATACACTACAAGAATAAGGTTTCTCTCCGGTATGAACGTGTCTATGCTCATTCAGATTACTCCTAAATGAAAAACTTTTATTACATACACTACAAGAATAAGGTTTCTCACCAGTATGAATGCGACTATGCTCAGTCAAAAGACTCCAGAATAAAAAACTTTTATTACATACACTACAAGAATAAGGCTTCTCCTCAGCATGAACACGACTGTGAAGCGATAGTTGACGACTTGTTGTGAATTTTTTACTACATATGTCACAAAAATAAGGCTTTTCACCAGTATAAATGCAACTGTGATAAGTTAGAGTTGAGTTCCTTGAAAAACTCTTATTACACACATTACAAGAATAAGGTTTTTCACCAGTATGAATGCAACTATGCTCAGTCAGAAGACTTTCAAATAAAAAACTTTTATTACATACACTACAAAAATAAGGCTTCTCATCAGCATGAACATCAAGTAATTTGCCGTCTTCTAAACTCATACTGACTGCAAACCTTTATTAACTTAAGTGAATTTACGTTGTACTCGTGATTTCTGCATGAACTATGTAAGGATTGATAAGAGTGAACTGTCTTATCTCAAGTTAAAATAGAGTTTTAAAAAAATTTTAATTAATATATTTACCAGAGTAATGTTTTCCTGAGGAACAGATGAAAGCGAATATTACTACACACAATATTAAAATATTTCAAAAGAAGTACAGTAGCTAGCAGTATTTAAGCAAGATATGTAAAGTTATAATCAAAACGTCTAAGAATTAAAATGGAATGAATGAACAACATAGAAACATATTAAAATAACATTCAATGTTATTGCAGTCTTTTAGCAATTCATTTCTTCAATCTTTCTCAGAAGGAGTAGAAGCTAATTTTAAGATGTTAGACAATCTTTCTGTGGTTATTATCATAGGTTAACTTCAAGTGTCGTGAAACACTGGGTAGTGTATTCAACTCAGAAGAAAAAATCTGAAAATTAAATAAAAAAATGAAACACATTTTTATATAATGTAGAACAAATATTTGTACAAGAAAAAATATTTTTTATAAAATTTGACTAGTCGTCCATTCAGAAGTTTCTCGGTAAAATCATTAGAGTTGGCTTATGGAAAAGAGAGACTAAATACTATGTAATATTATTAAAGTCAACATTTGAATAAAAAAGCTTATCTACAATATTTTACAGTGGCTGTAGATACTTATTTCAAGATGTTAGACAACCTTTCTATGACTATTCTTATTACATTACACTTATTAAACAATAGGTAGTGTATTCAACTTAGAAGGGCGACAAGGAATAAAAATATGCATTTTTATATAATGTAGGGTGACCTGGGGTAATTCCTGATCAAAAAACGCAAACATCTATTTTGTGAAAAAACTATTCAAAATAGAATTTTAATATTTACTGGAAGTTTGAGGCTATATGAAATGAGTCCTATGCCAACTTCTTTTGTTTGAAAATCTAATTAGAATTTAAATATTTAGTGATCAGGAATTACCCCTGGTCTTGATCATTTCTGGGGTAATTCCTGATCACTTCTGGGGTAATTACTGATAACCAGTTTTTATTGTAAAGGGGCTGTTAGAAAATAATTATATCATGGTAATTAACAAATAAGACATCAAGATAAAAAAATAAACCAAATAGATATGCAGCTATAAAACAATAGCAGCTAATAAAACAATTTATTTAAAAGCAAGAAGAAGGATTAACGCTTTAAATTTTCAAAAATCTTTGCATCGTGCCATACATTTTAGGCAATCAGCCAACTCATTCTCATGTTCTTCTAAAATATAAGAGAGCTCCCACATGGGTTACTTTTGTGGATTTTTTAACTTCTTCTTCTTCTTCTTCTTGCTTAAGTAAGGTATGCCAACAGCTCTGGTAGCATCTCTCACACTGAAATTTTCATTTTCTATTGTTAAAAGAAATTCACTAATTTCGTTTTCTAGAAGCTTAGTATCCTTTTTAGGCTTATAATTTCTCACCATATTTATACTTTATAAAATTAAAAATTATTCCAACGATGTACACACATAAAATTAAGATAGAAGCAAGGTAAGACAAATCAGAAATGGTGCAAATCAGAATACAGTCTTGTATACAGTTAAAAACAAATTTTGTTCAAAACAAAAATTCCACTTAATAAATATTAACTGTTATTTAAGAAAAGACAATTAGCTATTTATAAGTTATTTTATATACTAGTATTTATAAGAAGAAATGAAAATGATCAGGAATTACCCCAATGATCAATAATTACCCCATCTGTAGGGGGCAACATTTGATGTAGTTTCCAATAATCAATTATAATGTTTACAGTTGATGTGAAACAATTAAACAAAAGCTTACACTACTTTTATATCAAAGAAAAAGAAACTAACTTAAAATATTTATTATTAAGAGAATGAGGGGGATCTTTGCAGAAATATGCACATTTTGAAACCCATCTTTGAAAAGGAAAATGCAGAAAGCAGTATAAAAGATACTTATTTTGTTACAAAAATTATTATTAAGTAAATGTAGTTACACTTTAGTAAAGTGTACAAGCATTCTTGTCCATGTCTCAAATTTAAAAAAATAAATAATTTTTTTAAAATAAAACTTAGATAATCATTATTTACCCCAGAAACAGAGTGATCGTGAATTACCCCGTGTCACCCGATAGCATATTTTAGTAAACGAAAAAAAAATTTTTTTTTAATCCTCATAGCTGGAAATCCTTTTCAGATTATCTTTGGAAGATTTTAATTCATCAAAAGTATTTTCAAAATTTTTTTGTTATTGAAAATTATTATTTGTAATTAATTTTTTGTTATTCTTACATTATAATTCTTTATTCCTGATTTATTCCTTATTTATAAAGAGTTTCATTACCACTACATATGAATTTATAATACAGTTATAAAAATGCATGATATCATATAAATGGAAAGTTTAAATCACGACAAAATACGAAAATATTTTTGCATAGAATAGAATTTTGGTTAACACTTCACTACCATAGTCTGAATAAGTCATCAGTGGCATATTCAGAGGGAGTGGAAAAAGAGTATGTACCCAAATTTTTTTTCAAAATTCAAATGTTCTTTTATTATATTATAATTGATATGCTAAATGTAAGGAAGATTGCCCCCCCCCCTTATGATGCTCAAATCTTTCGTCACGATGAGAAAAAATTATTTTATATAAACCAATTTCTGAAAAAAGAATAGAAAAGTATTAAATACAAAAGTATTTCTGTCCCTAAAAAAGTGCTTCTGCCTAAACACCAGCACAGACAACACTAACAGCTATAGAAACATTTTACAACAGCGCAACATAAATATTTTTCCAGAATACCTATAATTTTTTTTTTTTTAATTTTAGTTGCATGTTACCAACCCTGCTTGCATGAATGAATTTCCTTGCATGTTACCAACCTCCACTGTAAAAGGCCAATTTCAATTTTGAAATATTTAAAAAAACTACATGGAAAAATATAAAGATTAATAAAACACGGAAAAATATAAAGATTAATAAAAAGAAAAGAAGAATTACAAAAATATTTTTAAAAATATTAAAAGCCACAAAACAAAAAATAATAATTAAAAGTTACAATCTCTTCATCTGTTTGCATGATTATAATGATTTCTAATATTGTCTCAATATAGCCGAAGCAAAATATGTCAATACAATAGTGTGAGGGGCAACCCAAAAAAAATTAAAACAAAAATAGTAAACACATTAAGTAAAAAATATATCAAGCAAAAAACAGAAATTAAAATGTAAAGAAAATGCAGAACAAAACACTTAACAAAATCTATAAAGCGGGTAGCTAATCCAAATGAACTTGCATGTACCAGAATCTTTTAATGTGTTTTCTTTAAACTTCAATTTTAGTTGGGAACTTTAATTTTTTTAAATTTGATTCCTAATCATTCCAGACTTTAATAATCTTATTATGGAAATTTTATATATCTATGCTGATAAAATATACATAATAGTTCAGGTAGGGTGAGCTTAATTGAAAATAAACATGTCATGAATTTTTAGCATCTTCACAGCTCTTAACCTCATTCGATTTCACTAAATACATTTTCAACACACAACATATTATGTATATAGTATATTGTTAGGTGTGAGTAATACAGTAAATTGTTGATAATAATTAAGTTGTAAAATGGCCAATGATTTAATAATTATTATATTGTCGCGTGGAACGAATAGAATTTATGCTAGATAGTAGAAAAGCTTTTTTTTTTACCAACATCTAGAATACACATAACACGGTAACAACCATTTATATATAGGATGTCCGGACTTATAAACAGTGTAATCCGGAAACGACGAAAGAGAATATTCTAAAACATTCCATAAATAATTACTGAAATCTTAAACAACTTATATACATATTTATATATTTCTAAAGTCTCGTTAGATAATGGGAGTAGTTGGAGGATCGAGCTCAGGACCTCCGACTCGCCAGGTGAGTGCTTTAGTCGCTCGGCCATGCCCACTCGTTCTGAGTCATAGAATACAAGAGGGTAAAGAAAATCAGCACATATACCTCCAGGGTACTAAGTAAAGCTGAAAAGAACTATTCAACTACAAAGCACAAGTGTCTTGCCGTCATATAGGCTATAAATAAATTTTGACCTTATTTGTTTGGATGTGCCTTTACAGGGGTCTGTCCAGGCCGAATTTACTACCGTTTAGCGGTAGTTTCACAAATTCAATTTTAGGAAAAAAGGTAATTTCACAAATTCAATTTTAGGAAAAATGGTAGTTTCACAAAATATTTTTTCTTAAAATTTTATTTTTATATCCCTTAAGAAACAATAAATCAATATTTTTATCATATTTTTGTGTTGATTTTTAAATATAATTTTTAATTTTTTACAAATTTTCACGAAATAGGTACCTCTTAGAAAAACCTAGACAGATCCCTGCTTTAATGTCATCACAGATACCACTCTTTAAGTTGGCCTTCTGATTTGAAAGATCCATCGGGCATTGTTGGGCTTCAAGAATACAACAGAAGAATCTTATATAAATCTGGACGCAAGCACAAAGATGCTGCTTGCTTATCCAGGTACCCTTTACTTGAGGAATTGAATTGAATGTAGGGTTTAGTGACACAAGGTCCAAATGAGGACATGCTGCGCCAAACAGTGCGGTAAAATAGTTTAAAAGTCTAAGTGCATACAAATTTAATTGTAGCAAGATTATAACTGATAAAACAGTACTTAGTAAGTGATTTAGACAAGATTAATAATTTAAATAAAATCAGATAAAAGGTAAGAATAAAATCAGATATAAGGTATGAGTACAGTATAAAATGCATGCAGTAAGTAGAATGTAAGGAGGTGATAAGATATTTACAAAAGTGCATTAAACAGTAGACGTGTTAAAACTTTTATATGCAGTTAAAAATTCCAACGACATGTAAAAATGCTGATATCATAGCAAAGTTAAAACACAGTAAAATTTTGTGGGACAAGTAAAATGGTAAAAGGTAAATAAAATCATAAATAAAGTAAAACTTATATACAATTTAAAATGCCAATAGCACGTAAAAATGCACAAATGTTAGGATGATGAGAGTCACCTAACAAATCTACCATAGATAAATCACAGCTACCAAAAAAGGCAAGACGATGTCTGTTAAAACACAGGCAAGTGATCAAAATATGATGAATCGAAAGTAAAACATCGCAAATGTTACATTGAGGAGGTGGTTCACCAAACAACAAACGTAGATGGGTCAGTCTGGTATGTCTGCTTCACAGCCGGGTAAATTTAACATCTGCACAACGTAGTCGCAACACAGGAAAGGGTTCCAAATTTGATTTATGAGCGTGCAACTTATTATTCACTTGGTTATCCCACTGTTACTGCCATAAAGATTTTATATACTTTTTAATATGTATTTTTATATCTGAGAATGGTATAGATAAATTTAAAGCAGTAGTAGCAGATCGCGCTGTTGTATCGGCCAAATCATTGCCTGGGATTCCAACGTAACTTGGAATCCTGCAAAACAAAATATCGACACCATTCCTATTAAGATTAAATAATATTTCCGATTCAAATTAGCTGAAATAAGCCTTAGTGCCAACAGAATTGCAACGGCTTCAGCGGTGAATATGGAACACATAGTTGGTATTTTATAATTGCGGGTGTCGACAGCAATAACAATACCACAGCCTACATAGCCAGGAGATTTTGAGCCATCTGTGAAAACAGGAACATGTTGACAATATTGATGATGATCAGCTTTGTATAGTTGCTGAAAAATGATAGATGCAACATGAGACTAACTATATACATCGAATGGAGAATGAAAATGATATTGTGAAACGTTCCAAGGTGGAATAAGCGGGTTATCGACACATTGTGTAGTTGAGTCACAGATATTGAATGATGTGTTGTGCGAGCATTAAAAGGGCGAACATGTGAGGATCGAGCATCATAAATCCCCTTTACATGAGGAAGAAAATCATATCAAGATAGAGACTAGGAGATTGTACAGATAAAAGACAATGTTGACCAGGAGAATACCTTTTAGAATATTGAATGAAATTCTATGAAAACACAACTATGATTATGGGGGTCAACTATGGTTACCAATAATTCCTCTACATTTAAGAAAATTCTTCAACAATTTCATGATGCACTGATAGCAGGACACCTTGGTTTCATTAAAACACTAAATAGGAGAAGATTCTATTGGCCTCGTCTTTACAAAAGTGTTTCACTTTATGTGTCACATTGCAAAAAAGGTGAAAGACGAAAAAGTATTCCACAATTACCTCCTGCAAACTGATGCCTATACTACTAGCAAAAGCGTCTTTTCATCAAATTGGAAAAGATCTCCTGGGACATTTTCTGAAGACAGTTCTGGGAAATAAGTGGATTGGGGTATGCACCGATTATCTCACATGATTTGCTACTACCATAGCTTCCAACATGGATAGGAAAAATAATAAAAGAATAAGCGGATAGGAATAAGCAAATAGGGTCCTTTCAGCATGCCAAATTTCAATTTGGTAGTAACATTCCTGTGTGGTATTTTCTCCACTAAGTCTAGGAGTTAATTTTTGAAAGTTAATCCCTGGCACACTTTTCTATAACTGCCAACATGTACAGGAAAAAAATCCAGTAGATTTTACGAAATAATATAAAGTTCTTGATAATTGTTGGAAAATATACTCAATATCTTACACATAGGGAATTTTATGGATTTTTAAAGTCATCAAAATAGAAAAACTGCAATATATACCAGTTATGATTTCACATTAAATGTTCTTGAAACGTTATGTATTATGTTTATTCCTAATTTGGAATAGTAATAGGCATTTAATTCATTAAAGGTAGTAATGCGAATCTTAAAATGTTTCATCTGAAACATACCCAGAGTCATTGACACTGAAAACCAAGACTTTGCCCTGTAATAATTATGTTTGTGCTTAAGAAAGTACTTTGTTGAGATAAAGGCAGGGGAAAAAAAGAATAAATATCATAAAATTTTTGTAAGAAAAGTATACACATATACACAATTAAGGCACCCAGAGGTAGAAGCAGTTATTACAACTTAAAATCTGCATGACAGTTTGCTGTCTCTAATTTAACTTATTTCTTGAACTGATTCCAGAGATTTCTACTGCACACATAACAAAAAAATTAATTTCTTTATGTAAAACTGAATTGATTATCGGAGGATTTTTATTTCTTCCCAAAATATAACTCTTTTTATTTTTCCCCCAAAATATACTGATAACTTACTTAGATTTGTACACTCATTAATAAAATTATAACTATATTAGGTTGTAAAATAAAGAAATAAACCTTGTTTTTATTGCTGAAATTTTTTTCTAGTTGACACCAATATTCTAATTTTTTTATGGGTGGTACATCCTATCAGAAATAAACACCAATGTGTTACATAATTCAGTGGACATAATTGCAGAGCAACGATAAACTTATAACTTGAGTGAAACTCGTGACAGACTGCTAGCTATAAAAGCCACATGCATCAAACTGGAGCAAATAGCACTTAAACATTCTAATTTTGTATTATTCATCAAAGTAATCAAACAAAATTTTTATAGTAGAAGATATATTGAATGGTAACACTATATTGAATGTATAAGTAACCCCCAAAAATAAAAGCAAGTTCATAAACGATTGGTTAGCTTTCCTTCATTAAAGTCTAAATTAGTGTGAAAGGTGTTAAATATTAGTTTTAACATATGAAAACACAGACAATGATGATAGTATTTAATGAATAAAATAAAATTAGTTAGCTTCAAGCAGATTGTTTGAAAATCTTTAATTAAACTCGATTCTTAGCCTCATATTTTTAAGACTTATTAACTGATTCATCAAATTTATAAAAAATAGATATATAACTAAAAAAAAAAACATTTGTTTGGGAACTTTAACTTAAAACTCAGCAAATAAGCATTTTTTTAAAATTATAATTTTTGAAATTTCTTCGTTTTATAAATTAAAATTGTAAAGTTTCGAGTTTACTAAATTTGTAATTAAAGAATAAACTAACACTTTTAATACAAACAATTTAGAATGCAACATACTAAGACCTGTATTTTGACCAGTTACAGCATGTTTAGTGATAAATGGATAAAGAAGAGCTGCAAAGTTCTCAAATGTCAAAGATATGTTTTTCTGAATATTTTTTAAGAACTACTATTTTTTCATGTGCATATTATCTATCATGAAATTCTACATTTATTGACTTGCATATAAGAATTTTGTATAATAAATTTCAAATGAAAAGTTACATTAATGACATATTTATTTCTGAATAATTTAAGACATATAACATAAATATTTCAATTTTACATCAATATTTCCGTAATTATAGTTTAGTAAAATTTCAAATAAAAAAAAATTAAATAAAATATTTCTATATTATTACTCCTTTCTATTAAAATACTACTTATTATTTTGCTTGTTCGGTTATTAAAACTATTCAGTTTTTGAACAAGATATCTATAAGTATTTTAACATAATAGATCTATAAGTATTTTAACATGAGGCTAGAGATATGTTAGATTAATGATCTCGCTTTCAGCATTTTTCTGTTGTACTCCATGAACATTCTTTTTACATGTTTTGTGCTGTAACTGTTCTTAATCTGCCATTTGAAATAAAATTAAAAAACATCTATAAGTATTTATCTTAAACACTTATAACGTTCAATTAATAATTTACATTTTTTCACTATCAATCAATTTTTTAATGTCCTCTTTTTTCAATAAAAATGATTTTTAATCTTACTTATATATTATTATTTTAAAAAAAGAGGGAAGAAAATGAACTTTCTTCTAACGTGACAACACTTTGTAGGGGGATATTTCCGTATCGTGATCTGTGACTGGGAGCACATAAAAACTAGATAAAATAATTTTTAAAAAAAATCAATATAGATAGTTTGACTTATGAATTTTTACAAAAGCATAATTAATGTCTTTATAATGTACATAATTACTTATGCAACATGAATCCTATCCACTTTTACAACGAAGATGTTCCTTCTTTTGCCTACCTTCCAATGATAATGAGAATTTCTTTTAATATAAAGAAGATAACGAAATAAAATAAGATGATCTTTAAGAAAATAGACCTAATGAAGATTTCCTACGAATGCACTTCACATGATTTCAGTGAAAATAAGGATATTTTCAACATTTTAAATACAAAACACATTTAATTTTTCATATATTTTGAATTAGAATTTGCTGACGTCTTTTGATATCCATTTCTACCCACCTAGTACGATAACGGGAACACAACGGCTCCGGACAAGTTGTTCCATCCTTGGCAATATGAAGATTCCTGAAAGTCTTAGCAATCATAGATGGCGCACTTTGACTACAACTCCAAGCCATTTTTACTCACGGAGTAGCCTTACTCACGCTAGATATCACGAATGTGAATTCAGAGATGCTACCGGAGCTTAATATAACGGACTTGCTACGAAGACTGTAGTAGTAGTAGTAGAGACTTACAAAAAGCAAGAATCTGATGAAAAAGATTGACATTAACAATTTCCCAAGCATATTTATTTCCATTAACTATTGGCGATTGAAATGGGCTGCAGGTGGCGTAGAGCAGAACTCTTTTCCTATGGCAACACTTCACATGCTTTCCCCATTAGCGTGTGGAAAGTCATAGAGAAAGGAAGTACGTTAGTTTCTCTTTGGATTTTCATATAGATTAAAATCTTTTAACTTGAGAAACTATATGGAACTGAAAACTAGATTAAACATAGTTTTAAAGAAAAGCATCATGGAAATTTTAAGAAATATTTTTATTATATAAAAAGATAAAATATTAAGAAAAGGGAAAATATCGTAGTACATTCCTATACAACTAAAAAAAGGAGGAGAGGGAAGGGAGAAGGGCTAAAGGCATGAAACCGGTCTCTCCCCAGATGGCGTATTCGAGTGTTGCGATAGCGAATGGAAAGTGAATCTAAAGATTTTTTTTTATATCCTGATTTGAATTACTTGCAATGTAATCGATATTTGATAATTAAATAGATCAATGAATAATTAAAACGAATATCAATGAAATAGATGAAATGTGGACGATTGAAACGGGCTACAAGTGGCATAGAGCAGAACTTTCTACCCATGGCAATACCTCGCATGCTTTCTTCATAAGCGTGTGGAGAATCATGGAAGGAGGTATGGTAGTTTCTGCCTTGATTTTAAAATAATTTAGAAACTCTTAAGTTAGGAAACTACATGGAAATGAAAACTGCATTGAACATAGTCTTAAAAGAAAGCGTCGTGGGAATTTTAAAAAATATTTTTGACAATTAAAGACGAAAAGTATTAAAAGGGAAAATATCCCAGTACATTCCTATACAACTTCAAGGAGGAGCGGGTCAAGGCATGGAACCAGACTTCTCAGATGCCGTTTTGATGAAGAACATTATAATAAATTGGGTTACTTTCACTTCTTACATTTATAGTCACCAGTGGCAGTACTGCTAATTAAGAACTATTTTCACTGGATTCACTTTCGAACACCGTCGTGGAAAAATTAAAGAAATTAGAATTTCATTTAGAAAAAATTTTCAAAAAAAGTAGAAGATAATATTTAAATAAATAAAAATAAATTAAAATATAATCATAAATGATAATATTTTAAGATTGTCAGTAGTGTGCAAAAAATAAATAAAACGGGCCACCTTGAACAGCTTTTGATCGAACTTCGATCCTTATTAAAAAAACTTTTGAAAATTTGGATTATCAGCTTGCAAAAAACAACGGCAAATTATTACACTTTAAAAAAAAAATATTATGTATATATATAGCTTTAAAAAAGCCTTAAAAATTACTTTCACGCTATCCCCATGTGCATTAATATTTTGAAATTGTACGAATTATTATTTAAGACGAATGTAAAAAGAACTTTTAACACATTTTTAATATATAAAACATAAAAATTAAAACCATCCATTAGTGTTTTCAAAATCATTTAAAATAATTTTTTTCTATCTAAAATTATCCAGTTAAATTTTGAAATTTAAAAAAAAAAGAAAATATCGTTAATATTTAGTTTTTAAAGAGTTTAAGTACTATCACATGTGATTACGGACACAAACATCTATAAGATCGAAGCGTTCAAGCAGGGGGTGAAAATTCTCCCCCAGCCCATGGTTAAGATAACGTGTAAGAATTTTTTCATCGGCGGAAAAAAATATAGCATGTGACCTTCAGAAGTAAAAAAAGTTTCTTTCACAGGCAATCATTTTACTTAGATAGTGATTTAATATTACAGTTGAAATAGGGAAAAGGTCCCTTTCGAATAGGTTCGAAGAATTATAGAAGAAGCACATTTCAATTAAATGTGGGCGGTACCAAGTCTTAATTGAATACCTCATACTAATCATGTCTCAAAGAACGAACTTAAAAAATACGATTCTTTAACAGATACACTATTCAGTTTGCCTGCACACAGATAAATAACAATCCCCACAAAACTCTTTTTACACAGAAACTACTAGATTAAGAAGTTCCAAGCACAATGAAAATGAATGTGGACAGCTAGACCATTATAATGCTAAAAAAATTTTATTACACTTTATATAAAAATATTTAGCAGTATAAACAAAACTGTGGGCAGATAATGCAAACATCCAAGAAAAACCTTTATTATACACACTACAATAATATGGTATCTCTCAAGCATGAGTGAGCTTATGTCTAGTTAAATGCTGCTTCTGTGAAAAAGTCTTAGTACATACATTACAAGAATAAGGTTTCTCTCCAGTATGAGTGCGATTGTGTCTAGTAAGTTGCTGTTTCTGTGAAAAAGTCTTATTACATACATTACACCTATGAGGTTTCTCGCCAGTATGAACTCTACTATGCTCAGTGAGAAGAAAACTATATGAAAAACTTTTATTGCATACACTACAGGAATATGGTTTTTCACCAGTATGAAGACGACTATGATCAGTCAGATTACCCCTAAATGAAAAACTTTTATTACATACATTACAAGAATAAGGTTTTTCACCAGTATGAACGCGACTGTGTCTAGTTAGCGTTTTCTTCAGTGCAAAACTTTTATTACATACATTACAGGAATAAGGTTTCTCACCAGTATGAACACGAGTATGCTCGATCAGACTATTCCAAAACGTAAAACTTTTATTGCATACACTACAAGAATAAGGTTTCTCATCAGGATGATTGAGTCTATGCTCAGTCAGAAGACTCTTAAATGAAAAACTTTCATTACATACACTACAGGAATATGGTTTTTCACGAGTATGAAGACGACTATGCTCAGTCAGATTACTTCTAAATGTAAAACTTTTATTACATTCACTACAAGAATAAGGTTTTTCACCAGTATGAATGCGACAGTGTCTAGTTAGAGTTTTCTTCTGAGAAAAACTTTTATTACATACATTACAAGAATAAGGTTTTTCACCAGTATGAGTGAGACTATGCTCAGTCAGATGACTGCTATCTGAAAAAGTATTATAACATATGCTACAAGAATAAGGTTTCAGATCAGCATGAACATCAAGTAAGTTGTTGTCTTTCAAACTCATATTGACTGCATATATTAAGAGTAGCTAAATTATGCTGAAAACTTTTACATGAACTATAATAGCAAGTTTTTATTAGGTTCTACCATCTTCTGCCAGGTTAAAATTGAATTTTAGAAAAGTTACAATAAACATTTTACGAGAACAATGTTCTCCCGAGCAAACTGATGAAAGCAAATATTACCACACTTTACATTAAAATATTTCTAAAGCAGTATATAAGCGATAGATGTAATTGAGTTATAGTCAATACATACGTAGATATTTTACAATGGAATAAATGAATGAATAACATAGAATCATCATTTTAAAATATCATTGAACGTTATTTGAGTCAGTCGGCAATGAAAATTCCTTTCGCCAATTTTTTACAGTGGCAGTCAAAGATAATTTTGAGATTACAGACAACTTTTCTGTGGCTATTATCATAGGTTAAGTTCAAGAGTCATGAAACGCTGGGTAGTGTTTATAACTCAGAAATAAAATCTGCAAAAAATAAAACACATTTTTATGTAACATATAACAAATTTTTGTACAAGTAAAAATATTTTTTATAAAATTTGACTAGTCATCAATACGAAAGTTTCTTGGTAAAAACAGTAGAGTTGGCATAGGGAAAAGAAAAAGAAACATTTAAATACTTTCTCCAACATATATTGCTTTTATAGTTCAAAGCAGGGATAATTGTCACCGACAATAACCATGTGGTGTTATGCAAAGACGTGACATGCATTTCCTTATTATCTTGATCCTCAATATAAAACGAAATTTCATTTTGCCTAAAATTAAAATTTCTTTAATGTTTTTAAAATACTTTTTTAGAAAGTTACTCTATTTGTCAACAAAAAATTGGAAAATCACAAAAATGTTAGGGAATTCAGGGTAATTCTTTTAAAGTTGACAATATTTAAGAATATTTTATTTATTTTTTCAGGAACCTAAGACTGTATACTTAAGCAACAGTTTTGAAAGATTAATTGGAAAGAAAATGCCTCTTTTATCATGAATTTCAAGTCTGCAATTTCTTCTTGCAGAACTTGAAGAAGTGTTCAACAGTTTTCTAAACGAATAGTGTACTTCTAGTGCTGATCGACTGATTCAATTCATAACTCTTGAAAAAGACAAATTCCAGTTTGAAAAATTTCTGAGTGTTGGAACCAGCACTCAGAAAGAATCTAAATACTAATAAATTTGATCCACACAACGATAAATTAGTTTAATAGCATATAGAACAGCAACAATGAATATTGGTTTCACAAAAATCAGACAACAGAAATCAGAGCATATTCACGATTTCTTAAGCTTTTGAAAAAATCAATATAATATGAAAATTAATTAGTAAAACTGCTTGATTTTCTATTATATAATGAATAGAGCCCGGATTTTGAAAAAATTTAAAAAATTTTTTAATTATTTGTTGAGAAAAAACCACGCTTTTGAAACATCATTAGACCCTTTTTCTATTTAATTATTTAAAATAATAAAAAGTAGTATTAACTAATGGTCAAATTCTGCACTTAATAAATGTAAAAATATTTATACTTATTTATTATTATTTCTTTTTGGAAAATAAAATCGGCTAAAGATTTATTTGTTTAAAAATGACACTGACTATCTAACAAACTATAAAACAAACATGTATTGAAAGAATTTGAATAAAATTTTTTAAAAAGAATTACTTTAAGTACTTAATACTTAAGTTAAATTATTAAAAAGCGTCAAATCATTACTTAACTCTTTATTTAATTTTTTTAAAAAAATTATTTGTTTTAACTAATAGCCAAATTTTTTAAAACTTTGTTTTCCTTTTCTCAAAAATAAAAGCAAATTAAATAAAGGTAAGCTTTGTTTTATTTTTTTATAATTAAAAACGACTGAACATTTATTGGTTTAAAAATAATCAAATTATTATACTTACCTACATTTAATAAATTTAAAAAAGCTAACTTTTTATAAGAAAGTCAAATACAAAATACCCAAATTAAACTGTATTGCTTAAAATGAAAAGCAATGATTGAAAAGAATCAATGAAGAATCCTTTTTTTTTATTTAGATTTTCTTTTCATTGATCTATTAGGTTCAGAACAAAAATTTAAGATAACAGCGATTGTGCAGCAATCGCAAAGTAACAGTAAGGTCTACTAAAAATAATTGACAAGAATCGTTATATCCGGACAGGAAAAACAAATGCAGAAATAATGCAAAAAATAAATGCAGAAAATAACGCAGAACGAAACGATCGCTAAGTAGCAAAAGTCTCACTGAAAATAATATACAAGAAAACCCACAGTTATTTCCGACGAAATTAAATGCACAACGATCGCAAAATGCCTTAAGTCTCATTGAAAATAATCTTCAAAAAACGCAAAATTCCAAAAAAAAATGGACATAAGAAAATATGCATTGCATTCTATATTACAACACTGATCCCCGCACGAAACTGGGAGTTCTAATTCAATTCGCTCTTCGTCATTCAACATCACAAAACTAACATCATCTTAATAGCAAAACGCTATCTACATCTCTGCAGCTAGACGAAATCAAAATCGTCTTTGTCAGTGAGGTAACAGCTTTAGCCTAGCCAAGGATCCTTGCATATTAAATTGTTAAACCGCAATTGTAGTCTTATTCCGGTGGCTCAATCAGATTTCTGATGCATCGCCTAAAACGAAAGTTACTACATCGGCCTACCGATATATGCGTTAAATCGATATTTTGCAATACATCGATCTATCGCCCAGTCCTAACTATGCTCCAATTTAAAAAAAGTTTTTTACAAATATAAAACGTATACATATTAGAAAATAGGTACCTAAATAAAAGTCGAATTACAATAAAATATGAATGTTAATAGAAGGAAAAAAAACAATTAAAAATAACAAAACTGCCCCTCAGAGAGAAAAAATAATGTACTTTATTAAATCTAATGGAAATTTAAATTTTTGGCTTTTTGGACATAAATGATTGTATAAAAGTTTGCTTTCTTTTATTAACGTTTATTTTTGAGAAAAAACTTCGCTAAGAGTAAAAAAGTCTCCTAATAGTCGCCTATTCCTGAAAATAGTTGCTTTTTTATCCTTTTCAGGCAAAAAAAGTCGCCCAAGACCGAAAATAGTTGCATTTTAGTAGTCTGTGGCAATGCTGCATACACTACAAAACTAAGCTCTTTCCCCAATATAAGAGCGACTGTGCTTAGTTGGATCAGCCTTTTTTGAAAAAAGCCATTACACACACTACAAGAATAAGGTTTTTAAACTGTTAAGTACCTGACCTTGAAAAACTTTTATGATGTGCATATAAGAATAAGGAAGGTTTCTCTCCAGTAGGATTGATTGTGCTCAGTTAGATGACTTCTATTTGAGAAACTATTATAACATATGCTACAAGAATAGGGCTTTTCAACAGCATAAATATTAATTCGCTGTCTTTCAAAATCATACCGACTACCTTCCCCTATCAACTTATGTGCAGCTAAATTATATTATTGAGCATTTTTACATAAACTGCAATTCTTATGCCACGTTAAAATAGATGTTTAGAAAAACAGCAATAAAAATTTCACAAGAATAATGCTTTATTGCTTATTCTGTGATAAATGAAAACAAATATTACTACACATTATATAAAATTATTAAGAAAGCAGCAGTTAATTTGTTAGCAGTAATTAAGCAACACAATTCAGTTATTAATAATTCATTTGAGTTACACAATGGAATGAGTAAATGAACAACATGGAAACATCATACTAAAATATTATGCAATATTATTATAACCAACCTTTAAATTAAAGGGCTTGTCTGCAGTATCTCCCAGTGGCAGTAGTAACTAATTTTAATATGTTAGACAACCTGTTCATACACACACTAATTAAACACTGGGCAGTGTATCCAATATAGAAGAGCAACCTTGAAGAAAAAAATAATACACATTTTTATATAATGTATAACCTATTTTAGTACATGAAAAAAAATTTTTTATCAACCTCGCTGGCAATTCTTTAAGATATTTTTGGAAGATTTTTATTTATTCAAAGTGGTTGTGAAATTCATATATTTTTTAATTTTTAATTCCTACTTGAATTTATAAATTTAATTTATAATGCATTGGATCACCACTACAAATGAATAATACAGTTTTAAAAGAGCAAGCTATCATACAAAGGTAAGTTTAAACAATGGCAAAATAAAAAAATATTTTTGCCTATAATATAATTTCGGTTATCATTTTACTATTTTACGAATAAATCATGAATGGCTTATTCAGGGGGGGGGGGAGTCCAAAGATTTATATAGTCCCAAGATTTTTTTTAAAAATTTAAATGTTCTATTTTTTAGACAATTATTGATATTCTAAACCTAAGAAAGAACTTTTTTTTCCTTATTATACTCAATCTTTTCATCATGATGAGAAAAAACGGTAAATAAAACAATTCCTAAAAAAAGAAAGGCCACTTTGAATACTACTTATTAGTACATATGAAATGCGTCTAAATGGAATTTGTTCGTAACATATATATAAATATTTCTGTAAGTGAAGAAGTGATAAATTTTGCAAAAACAGAAAAGAAAACTAAATATAACTTAGTACAAAGTGAAGCTAATGTGTTACTGTCCAATACTTTTTAATCAATAAATGATTTTTTTTCTTCAATGATGATCGCTTTCAGTGATTCTGATTGGCAGAAATTTTGGCTTTCATGACTATCAATGATTTTAATGATAAAAGACCTGTATCATAGAAAAACAATGTTGTAGTTTCATAATCATAATTATTCTGATTTTTTCCTTTAGCTATTAATGAGAAAGGAAAAGAATTTTTTTATTTACACACATATTTAAACCTTGATTACAATTTGGCCTACATAAATCTGAAGGCACATCCAATTCTAAATTAGCAAAAAGTATATTATTGATGAATAATTATACTTTCAATACATGAATGGAAATATGAATTCAGTACATGAATGCAACGCTTAGTGGCTGAGTGGTAGAGCTTACCGCTCCCACGCCACAGGTTCTGGGTTTGATCCTCGGGTCGGGTAAGGTTGACTCAGCCTTTCATCTCTTCAGTGGGTCGATAAATGAGTACCAAGCATGCTTGGGAACTAAACACTGGGGGTTCACATTCGGCTGACCACCTAACCGGAACATCTGCTCATGCACCCCAGAGCCCAAGAAAACTGAGATGGGCACAGTAGGCTTTAGCTATTCGACCAATTTTCTTTTTTGTTAAGTATTCGGCCATATCACTATTCATTATATCCTTAGTTATAATAATAATATTTTTCATAATAATATCTTATAATATTTTAAACTAAGAAAAATGAATATTTTTTATAGGAATCAAAATCATTATTAGGGCACTTCTAATGCAAAAATTGGTTAGTGAAAAAAAACTGGAAATCAGATAAATTAACCAATCTTGCCCTTTACGTGCCATATTATTGAACTTATACGCTGATGCATTCAGTAATGCTATGCCCTCCCATTAAAATATTATTTTGCATGTTCATCTATATAAACTAAATATTGAACAAGACATATCATCTAAATATATTTATCTTCCCCACTTGTAAACCTATAACATTCCACATAATAAATTCTGCATATATTAAAACTATCTATAGCTTTCCTAATATCCTCGTTTAACAATAAAAAACATTCATCTGCAAAAGAGGAAGAAAATAGCATGACAACATTCTGTAATCGATTATATCAAAAAATGAGTCTTTTTTTAGAGAGAAAAATTACTAGTTAAATTCAGAAACTGCTAATATAACTATTTGGAAATAATTAAAGAATTATAATAACTCTTGAAAATTTTACTATAGTTTTATTATGAAGAATTTGCTTGATACAGTTGAATGATTACAGGTGAAAATATAGTAATTTAGTATAGGCATCTGCTCCCATCAACTATAACTGCCAGCCATGGCACCAAAGGTGTTTCGGTCTGGAAGTCGACAATTTTACTTTGGTGTAGAAATCAATGTAGAAATTTATCAGAGTTCAATGGTACTTAAATTTAAAATCATGATGTCTAATTAGTTACAATAGGATGGTGAAATCTTGAGATATTAATTGTATACAGAATAAAAATTTTATACTAATGGTAAAATATTATTTTCAATATTGACTAATATTGCTAATGTTTGTCAGAAGAATTAGCAATTAGATTTAAAATTAAGGTTAGCTTTTAACAACAAACCGGCGCCCATCAAACTTAAGAAGGATGTACCAAATTATTTTGGTGTGAGGGGTCTGCCTAGGTTTTTCTGAAAGGTACCTTATTTTGTGAAAATTTAGACCTAATTTGCAAAAATTAAAAATTATATTAAAAAAATCAACACAAAAATATGGATTCATCCTTTCTTACGGGATACAAAAATAAAATTTTAAGAAAGAGTATTTCGTGAAGCTATAGTTTTTCCTTAAGTTGAATTTGTGAAGGTACCGCTAAACGGTAGTAAATTTGGCCTGGACAGACCCCTGGGTGTAGAAATCAATTACACCTAATACAATTAATTAATGAATGGTCTACTTAATAACACCTAATTAGGTACCTAACAACACATGAATGAGGAATCCTATCAACTTTTATGATTTTTCTTTACCCACTTAATAATGCTTCTTTCAATGCAAAGATGACAGTGCTATAAACACACTTTCTGAAAATGAATATTTTCTATTAATACTCTTCTCATCATTTTAGTCCAAATAAGGGTATTTTTTCAACATTTTAAATGCAAATCACCTTTAATTTCTAATCCTTATGGATAATAACTGCTTAAATATTTCACCGTAAAAATGTCTTTTATAACGAACACGCAAAGATGGTTATAAATACGAATATTACACCTAATAAAAAAAAAGTTTTCACTTACTATTATAAAATCTTATAAAAAAATTTATAAGCGTATTTTCATTTTTCAATGCTTTTTTTTTTTTTTTCGTAGAATGTAGAAGAGTGCGGCGAGCTCTTTGTCTCCTCTTGTGTTAACTAATGGAACACTGGCGCGTGACGTCACGATCTTTGTTTGCAATCAATTGGGTGGCGAGGTCTGTATAAGTCTGTGGGATTTTGATGTCATTTTCAAATATTTGATGTCATTTTTTTAAATATTAATGGTCAATTTTCGCGTTGAATAGAGTTCTAATAAACTTTATAGTAAGTTTCGGCTAAATTGTGGGATTCTTTATGGATGGTGTTTTCAACACTTAGGGAACGCTGCAAGCTCGGTACCGACTAAATTTCCGGGTTACTGTTTCCGTTGAATTTTAAAGCCATTTGGCATCGTTGTGTTTTGAGATCCTTGCAAGCAATCTCTTTGATAACTTATTACTTGTGTTTACATTGCTAACAATGCTTGTGCTTACAATGCTAAAAGTGTTAACACTAACGTAAGGTGGTGCACAGCTAGCAACAAGAACAAACAGTAATAAACTTATGGAAAGAAAGAGGCCAAATCAAGACTGCCAAAAAAGCGAGTTATTCAAAATCTAGCAACCATGTCACCTTTTTTAATAATGAATAACAAAATAACTAGGATAAAAAAATTAATGGTTGAAAAAATAATTCATTGCAATAATGAACATTTAGCTGTAAATTTATTATTGTTCAGAAATCTAAAACTTTTTCGTGGTTTCCCTTTGCATTTAACACAACATTTGATTTGTCTAAATTTTAATTTAATTTTAAATAATTTATAGGATACTACATAAGCTTTTATAAATATAAGTTTATTTAAATTGCAAGTTACTTTAATTTCTGGGTCGTGTTAAAAGTTAAAAATATAAGAAAAGTGCTTCACAACAACCACTAAGATGACAAATTGCTGTCAAGGAAGATAAAAAAAATGATGGTTGAAAAAATAATTCATTGCGATAATGAACATATAGCTGTGATGATATTATTGTTCAGTAATCTAAAAGACTTTTTCGTGGTTTTCCCTTGCATTTAACGCAACATTTGAATTGTCTAAATTTTAATTTAATTTTAAATAATATATAGAATACTACAAAAGCTTTTATAAATATGATTTTATTTAAATTGCAAGTTACTTTGATTTCTGGGTCATGTTAAAAATATAAGAAAAGTGTTTCATAACATCCACTAAGATGACAAATTGCTGTCAAGGAAGATAAAAAAAATAATGGTTGAAAAAATAATTCATTGCGATAATGAACATATATATATAATAAATAAATAAATACAAGAAAACACTAAGAAAGTTAAGAAAAACAATAAGTAACATTTATTGCGCTTAAGCTGCAAGTAAACAGCACTCATTAGATAAGTTCAAAATGAAGAATAAAACAAAGAAAAATTATAGACATATGAAAAAAAGGGGGT